TCGTCATATTCAAAAGCATTTCTCATTAAGACCAAGTAAACTGAAGTGAAGATCAGTCAGTTCATTTTTTTACATGTCGATACGCAGCATTCAGCTTCGTACACCTCATTCGATATTAATTACGTAGTCCAATCAAACTTTTATAAACTTTCACATCTGCATTTACTGTATGTTTCAGAAGTCATTGCAGTTGATAATTTGAAACCGGAGCTAGAGATACGAAAGAAATTGATTATATCAGTTAGATTTGGATTTGGATGAGAAGTCCTGACTAGGCAGCCAGTGTGAATACGACCAAGCGGTAGTAACGCGTCATGAATTCATATAGTAGTCGGACAATTCCGCTTTGGTGATTGAAGTGAAATAAAAATGTGGTCAACAGTTAGACGTTGTAGCTTAATTAATAGAACACCAAGCCGGAAACCTGGTAGTCGCTGGTTCAAATCTGGCCGAGGTCCAGATGTCCTTCACCTTCAATCATCACCTAGTACATATATCGCTTCAGTTACTGTAGTCCTAATAAGGGTATCCAAAAAGTTTGAACACTGATCACTGTCAGGTCATTTTTTCTTATATTTTTTCCGATTTTATTGTAAAATTTGTTTTACATTATTATTGATGTCTTCATTCGAATTATATTTCTTGATTATTACTCATATCACATGAACTTAGTTTAAGCTCATGTAATAGAATATTATTACCTTACTGATATCATATTCCCCCGTTCCATAACGTTTCACAAATACCTTACATTTATTCTCACCTATTTCTAGATGTTTTGAAAAATATTTTCTTTACCCCACTGATAAAATAGTGTATCGACTTTGTGAACACAACTCATTCACATCATAGCTTGTCATAGGCAAGCACATATAGACAAACTTTTGGTTGATGTACTTGTAATTCTCTGTTGTTTTACTGGATCAAATTGTTCGACCTCTGTTGGCACATGGGCTGCTATGGGGATGCCCGAATGTTTATTAAGGTGGCTTGCTTGGTTGTAGGTAGCGTTTCGTCCTACTTGGGACTCGTCAGCCGGATGTACCTGTACTCAACTGAGTGACGTTGTTCCCACTGAGACTGGAACCTCATACCCATCGCTTCAAACGTCAAGGCGTTATCCACTGACGAGCCCCAAATAGGATGAAACATATGCCCAGGTTTCTTCTGCTAGCCACAAGCAAGTAAGTTAATACGTAGACAAAGACCGAAGAATGAAGAAAAATTAATGCGTATGCAGTTGTAAACATTTTGAAAATGAATTCTTTGAGAAGGATTTCCTTTGCTGAACTATTCGTTACGTGATTTAACGAATATATGCACTGCAATTTACAAAGACAGCATATTGGAGAAACGGTGAGGAATATTTGTACCTCAGTGTATGGGTGTTCACGTTGATTTATGATCGAAGCGGTAGTTTAGATTCATTGTATAGGATGTACTTTTACTTGTGTAATCCCGGCGTAGTTTAGATTGATAAAAGTTTCACTAACATTCCAAACTTCCTTAGCAATCTGCCACAGTTTCCCTAGCTTCCTTGTGAAGCTGTGGTGTACTAATGCTGATCGAGCCATTGAAATATTCGCCATCTGAAATCTTAACTCAGAGGACAACTCATTCGAAACAGCAAACATATTTTATGACCACTACTACTACTACTACTACTACTACTACTACTACTACTACTACTACTACTACTACTACTACTACTACTACTACTACTACTACTACTTAGGTTTTACATCCATCAATACATTTCATTGTATGTTGTTATTGTGTCATATTTTGTATTCTTCTACGACATTTCGATTTTCCTGGGAAGATCCTTTCTAAAGGTAAGGATCCGATATTATTAAGCTACCAGGTTAACATTTTAGTTTGATATGGAAGGTTGTCTTTAGGTGAATGATACTCATAAATAAATCAAAGTTTATTCACACTATTCAAGTAGGGTAGAACAAAAATATGCTGAGGGATTCTGTTCGACTGTGTACTTTTGCAATCTCACAGAGTTGAATTCATTTTACCCAGAGGTGTGACCATTTAGGTTACTATTGCAGAACAAGTTTTTCTTGGGTTGCATGTACGGGTCTCTATGAGGCACGAGAAGATAGGCCTACTCTGGTTGGACCGATGAAAAGACCCTAAGAGATTTGGATTCCGCCCTCGATGATGATTTATGTCTAATGTCTTGTCACACAAACTCAAAGATCTATAGGCGAAAACCAACAAGTTGGGAGAAGAGGCGAGACAGCGAAGACGGGACTTCCTCCAGGTGAACGTAGAGAAGACAGAAGTGAGGAAGATACCCAACAACAGTAACAAGCACCAATCACCATGAACGGGAGAAATATCAACGAAGTTGTCTCTTTCACTTATCTAGGCAAGGCAGCATCGATACTGACACTGAAGGATCAGATAGATGGCCAAAATAATGAGAAAAAGCAACAAGAAACTCACTCTGATTGGCAACTAACCAACAACTCATCGCTCAACAAATATGCAGAAGAAAGTCAAGAGGGATTCGACTGGACGTACACTGAGAAGACTGTCTGAGGACATCACGCATCAGGCCGTCGAGTGGAACCCAAAGGGGAAAGGACGAGTAGAGCGTCCAAGGACGACATGGAGGAGATGGTGTGCGAAAGAAATGAAAACTTATTGACAGTGGCGTGACTAGGTTGAAAAGACTGCAGAAATGAGTGGAATGGCCACGTGCTACTGATGTCGTTTGTTCCACCAGGAACCCAAGGGACAAATATTGAGAAAATTAATGTACCAGTGTCTAAAGATATACAATTCAAATCAAAGTATTTCTAATGACTGCGTTTAAGTATCTTACATAAAATATAGTGTACCATTCCAAAAATATCAAGTTGATTAGCTAAATAAAAATGTTGTTGCACACTGCCTAAACTTAGGCTGCTGAAAATCTCCCACCCAACTACTCCATCGATTTCTTCCCTTTCAATTTGTTTCCATCTTTCAAATATATCTTTGAAATGCGTCAAGTACTCTTGCACGCTTTTAAAATAGTTTCAAACTGCCGTTTTTAAAGCTAACAACAAAACAAAGAATAGACGACAGGGCAGTAAGAGATTGGATTGTAAATGCACAGAAATACAGTACATAACTATTCCCTTGGATAACTATGTCGAATTGTAGATTTTGGTACTGGGTGGGTCAACTGTCACCAGCAAAATTACACTCGATTTCCTCTTCACTCACTAATTCAAGCCCGACGCCAATGTCTCATTTAATGCTTATTTCACATTATGGTTTTTATTACTGTTATTATTAAGATTATTCAAATGTAATGATAACTTCGCTTAAAGATGTTGTACACAGAGTGAATTTGTTGAACTGTTACATGAAGATGAGTCCGTACTGTCCTACATGTATCGTTTTGAATAAAGCCATTGTCATTATTATCAAAAGTAGTAGTAGTAGTAGTAGTAGTAGTAGTAGTAGTAGTAGTAGTAGTAGTAGTAGTAGTAGTAGTAGTAGTAGTAGTAGTAGTAGTAGTAGTAGTAGTAGTAGTAGTAGTAGTAGTATGATTTTTAACTATTCATCTGGTTCAGTAGCAAAAGAAATAGCGTCCTACTCGAACCTTGGGTTACCATAATTTTTCCCTGAACACACATCATTTAAATATGTTCTGTATACGTATCATCTACTCTTGCATATTTATAAAATCTTTTCAACTCATAGTATCTCGAGTTAATATTTTTTTTAAACAGAAAAAATGTCAGGTCATAAGGAAGTGGAATTTCCAGTCCCCAAAAGTGTATCATATTTTTATCCCCCGGATACTTAACTTGAATTACAGATTCTTGTACTGGCTGAATGAACCATCAACACTATGCTTACGTTCAGTTTTCTGTTAATTCTTCTTTCCAGATAGAAAACTAATCTAAAAACCACCTAGCTGCCTTTTATACTGAGATTATTAACATTATTCAATTCTCATAACCATTTTGTCTGAAAATATTAATAAATTACATGCTCAGAATTCCATACTGTTTGGAATAAAGCGATTATTATTGTCATTATTATTATTATTATTATATGCCGAAAGTATGTATCAGTCATCGTTACTTTAGCATCCACAGGTAGAAAAGCAGCATTTCGTCTGCCTAATTCATATTCATGCTTCCATAACATCCATTCCAACACCGTATTCAACATTTCTCCACGTTTAAGACTGATAAATGAAACTGAAAAAAGAAATATGGTTCACCGGAAGATTATTTTTATCTACATCTTAGTAACTGGCGAATGGTTAGCATTTCGATGTGACAGCTCAGTTAATAAACCAGTCAGTTGATGACTTTGAGACCTATGGTTCAAATGTCATTGACACTTAAGTCACCGTATGACTTTATTTACCATCCCTTTACTTCAGGATTACTTCCCCTGCTTTTTCTCCATAGTATTCAAATGTAGAACGACTCGTACCTCACTTAATAACGTGGTAACGCTTCAAAAATAACTCATAAATTTGATGTTGGCTAGGAAGAACAAAATCCGATACAATGATGAAGCATTTTGCCATCTAAATTTTCAATACGTTGTGTAAATTTATGAGAAATTATTCACTGAAATAATGGATCAGTTAAGTGTTATTGCTTGAAATGCGCATCCTAGATTCCACTGCTAACCATTGCCCATCATTACTAAATGGATCAGTTAGTTTTGAAGAGATATAATCAAGGTAAGAAATTAAGAAAGTTCTAGGAAATATACTACACTTTGAACTGAGTAGAATAGAACGTCGACTAAAAATCTAACACTTAATCCATTGACCTACAGTACAACAGCTGACGGTGATATCATCTATTTTACTTCAGTGCAAGAAAAAGTCGGAACAACATCGCTTAATGCCAGGCAGATACATCCATCTAACGAGTCTCAAAAAGAATGAAATATTCGTTCTGGATTTCAGTGGTAGTCTAATTAATATCATAATAAAGTAAGTTTTAAGGTAGTAACTAACTTACCTTTAGATAATAATTTATCTAAGTACGTTTGTATACGTACTGATTTTTTGCGTGAATTATCTATATCATTTTTTGTTTCTGACTCTCTGTATCTTAAACGTTTCTGTCTTCTATTACTATTGGACATCTGTTGAATAGTTAAATTATGACCTTGACAATTCCATCGATGTGCTGAGAATTGATATTCACATTCTTTTAAACCCATAAAATAACCACGTATTACACTCTCCATTAAATGTAAATACTGACGGCATAACTTTTTCTGTCTACGTAAAAACCCATTTGGATGATCACATATACTCATTTGAAGCTTCCCATCTGGACCGACGAATGCTTCTGAAGTTATCATATTATTATTATTATGATCTAAATTTGCTTGTTCTAACTGACTTTTATTCAATCGGTCATGATTATAATTGTTAATATCATTTGTGTTTACATCTGAATTTGTATATCCATTACTTGTATGCAGATAAATTGAATTCTGTGGTTTTGAAGATTCTACAAAACGTAAATCAGAATTTGACTGATGACGATAAACTTCAGGAATATGATTATTCTTTGTTAATCTATTCACTAGAGTTGGATCTTGCTGTTGTTGTCGTTGTTGCCTTTGTCGTTCAATTTGATCATTCTCTTGTGATTGTAACAATGGATCCAGTTGGGGTATTTCATCTGGTGAATCTGTGATCAATAAATCCTTCAATTGTGCACTAAATGTAATCAAACATAGAAATGGTAGAATACTTAACCAAATCGACATTATTATTGTTATTATTACTATTATATATTATGAAACGTAGTAATAAATGGAATTGTTAAGCAAATCATTTTCACATTTATCTGATAAAAAGACTACACATTTGATTATTTCGAATGTAAATAGTTAATTCAATGGTTCCAAGCGATTAATTTCAACTTGTTTCTTTGTTGAAATGCATTTCTATGTTGGAAAATTTTAAAACAGTGAATCATATGTCCATGTCGACTTATATATTTCCTTTTAACTGATTTGTTTGTTTGTTTGTTTGTTATATTTTATTTCTTCAAGGGAATAATCCAAAAAATATTGATTTTTCTTAAATTACTCGTTCAAATTTACCGCAATATATTCAATGTGTACAATAGAATGACAAGGGGAGAGAGAATTTATCTCTCTCACCATACATATGTATATTTATTGCAGAGAGAAAAATTAACTAATCGTCTGATTTGAGTATGAATCCTGACAGAATTGCCTATCGGTTACATTAGACCTTAATGTTATATACTCATAAATCATAACCCGTTGTTGACAGAGGGTGAAAAAAAAACCAAATGAAAAAGGAAATTCCAGTATTATTCTAACCGATGATAAATGTTTTGTATGTGTTCATGTTCATCTTTGTATATCCATAGATAAGTATGTATTCGGGGTGTTGTTTATATGTAATCCTCAATTTACACATAGGGTAGATATGAAATATGACCTCCTGGTAATCACGTTCAACGCTATTTATATACAGGCTACAATTTGATTGGCCTGTTTCACCCTCTCTCTCTCTCTCGCTACCTAATTATCTTAATGTCTTTGTATTCTTATGTGTGTCAGTGTCTGTATTGTGGTGTGTATTCAACGAATCTCTTGTTCCTATCTTCATCTGTTGTCAAAATTAATTCTAAAATATACACTTTTCATTTGCCTTCGCATTAATTATTACAAGGCACATAGATAAGTTGAACAAAAAGTGTGTGTATGGTATTAATTCAGTCACTTTGCATACATAAACCTAATGGTTAGATTAATAGTCTACTTTCTCTCTCATGACGTACGCACATCATGAACTCTCTCTCTCTCTCTGGCTTGCCATCTCCCGCTTAATCCATCCAGCCGTCAATAATAGTCATTAAAAACTTTGTAGTACTTGAATTATTACCTTGTCGACCTAAACTATTTCTTCAAAAGTGGCTATTGTATGGCTGTTTGTATAAGATCTATCCTAGGAGTGAATAGAATGTGTAAATTTATGGAATTATAAATGATCTGTACTACATTGTTGTTTCTATATTATACAGGATTTTTTTTGGGTTGTTTGTTATCCATTCTGTTTATGTATACAATCAACTGAAACTAGAGATTAGGTACGTGAGAGTTTAGACAATACATAATCCTCTTTGGAACTAGATGCAAGAAGCTGTAGTTGATACAGTTAAGTATCGATCGTAGTGGTTTAGATGAATCCACACATTATCTACATCTTAATCACTATACTGAATTCTATTACTGCTTCATTCTTGATTGTACCATTTCCTATCTTGACGTGCTGTGCTAGAAGAAGTTGAATTAGGTGGGAAAAACTTCAAGGTGATTACACTAAGGTGTTGACTTCAGTTTATGAAGTCTCCCACTCTGGGTGTGTCATGTACACAGGTGTAAACTGACTGATTGAGGTCCCCCAAGAAAACTGTAATCAACGGTTGAGGAATGACTATGGGTGACATGGCTGAAAATCGATCACAGGACAGTAGATGTACTCACTCCTTAACATATTCTAACCTTCCTATATTATATGTACTTACCCTGATCTTCAGATTGTTTGTTCTGTAGCACAACTTGCTCTACTTTGATATTACTCTTTTTCTGTGCATATGTTCTTTGCATACTACTGTGAAGTGCTGCAACTTGAACCAGTGAACTTGTGTTCAAGGTTCTACGTTGGTTCTGTCTGTCCGGCTGTCTGCCTACTTGCCTGCCTGCTTCTTTCTGTCTCTGTCTATCTCGGTACCTCGAAATTGCAAATATATTTTCAGGTAAAGTAATCAAAGAAAACTTGTTGATTCTTTTAAGTCATCTCGCCCCGATATGTATTATTATTATTATTATTATTATTATTATTATTATTATTATTATTATTATTTGTCCCTTGAGTTCCTAATGGAACATACGCCTTCAGTTGCACGTCTCCATTCCACTCTCTTCTCTCCAATCTTTTGAACTTGGCTCCACGACGGCCCACAACCTCTCATTCCTTCCCAAAACGATCTCCTCCATGTCACACTCTGCTGGGACGCCCAACTTGTCGTTTCCCATCTCAGTTCCACTCAAGTACCTGGCCTAACGCATGATGTCTCCAGTCGGTCTTCTGAGTGTGTGTACAGTCAAATCCAATCGATCTCCACTCCCTTCTACTGCATATTTGTTGAGTGATAGGTTGTTGGTTGGTTCATTGACAGTCAGTCAATCAGTCAGTCAGTCAGTCAGTCAGCCAGACACAGTGAGTTCCTTGTTGATTATTCTCATTATTCTGGCAATCCATGTGATCCTCAGTGTCAGTAAGGAGCCAGTGTAGGCAGTTGTTGATGAATATGTGTAGTTTGTTGAAAATGCTTTTCGTAACGCGCCGCCAAGTCTCTCAACCATCACATAGAAGAACCGACTGACTTGACTGACATGAGTGTTGAAAATCCGGATGTTGTTCCACATGCTGAGGGTAGAAGATCTCCACACTGGTTTCAGGCTAATGAAAGCCTGTCTTGCTGTGTTTCCAATCCTGGTTGTTTTGACGTCCTCGTCTGTGCCGCCACCTGTAGTTGAAACAGTGCTGCCTATGTGGTGGTTGAAAGAGGCTACTTCCTTTAAATTTCTCCCGTTGATGGTGAATGGAGTTTGTTGTTGTTGTTGTTGGTGGTGTTGGTTGGGTATATTCATCACCTCTGTCTTGTTTACATTCACTTGAATTCAGTCCCGTCTTCACTGCCCAACGTCTTCTGTCAACTTGTTAGTTTTTGCCTGTAGATCTTCAAGTTTGTGCAACATTAGACAGAAGCCATCAGCGAAATCCAAATCTTCTTCTAGGATGTTTTCAGCGGTCCAGCGTATCCCCCTCTTCTCAGTCCTCACTGTTTGTAGCTTGATCCAGTCGACCACCGTCCCCAATATACTATTTATTAATTTATGGTAGTCGGACAAAACCCGTCTTGGTGACTGAAGTAAAATAAAAATCTGGTCATTAGTCGGATATCTTAGCTCAGTTGGTACAGAATCGGGTGGGAAACCCGGTGGTTGCTGCTTCCAATCCAGCGGTGGTTCAAATTTCCATTTCACCTTCAATCATCACCCAGTGTAAATACTAGTCTGCCAAACCATAGCTGTCTTAGATAGTCAATAGGATATTTATTGGAGATTAATCAACCTTGCTATACTATATCTATACTGCTCAACTAGACGGATCCATATTCGGGATAAAAGCAAAAACGTTGCCTCTATCTTAAATAAACTCATGTATTAAATTTCAAATTTTAGTTCATAAACATCATATACATAATTTCCGAAGAGAACTTCGGTGATATAAAGAGAAGGTCATTTGCAGAATAAGAAAATGGATGAAGTTTTGGTAGAATAAGCAAATTAATTTGTCACTTAAGCATAGAAAGTTATTTTCCCTTTAGTAGATATGATTATTATCATTAAAAAACGACACTGACTTCAAATTAAGGGAGTTCTTATTACAATTGGAGAAAGATTTAAAACTTGAGAGCAGTATCTAAATCTATTTCTCTCTAGTAAAAGGTTCAACAGAGCACACTCCTTATGTCGCTGGGGGTCGATCCAAAGTACTCAGATGAACATAGGTAAAATAACAGCACTATAAATGAAGTGATGTAGGAACTTTACTGGGATATTCTAGGGAGGCATTTGATTTCAAGATGGTATTCACCACTGACGAGTAGCACTTGAAGAATCATTGAAAACACCACAACACTCGACAGCTATTTCGTTCAAGTATGGGCGTCTTCAGCACTATATACTCAAAACTCTTCCAAGGACCAGACAGATAGATAAAATCAAGGTAGACCTAGTACATAAGCGTATCGGTACGAGTTGCCAAACTTAACAGTAGTGAACAAAAATATGTGGAATGAAGAAGGCTGATACCAAAGTAGAGTAAGTTTTGTTTCGTGCAAATATTCAAACTCTAGAAGATGTCAAGGAGTGATCGATTTTCAGCCAGGTCACCAACAGCTAGTCCTCAACTACTGATTACTTATTTGCCTTAGGGACTGTAGTCAGGTAGTTTGCACTTGTGTACACGACTCAGACCCAGAGTGGTGTGGTCCCCTGAAGTTTTTCTAAACTAATTCAACTTCCTTTAGTACGCCATTTCCAGATAGGTGGTGGATCGGCATGCGAAACATATGCTCAAGCCATCTCAACCGATGAAGGTTCGAACCTCATCAATCAACTTTCCTGTCTTACTTAGTACCCTTCGCCTGACCTCGACAGTCCCCAAACAGTGATCCCACTATAAACTAGCAACGCTATGAAGATACCTTTGATCAGTGGACAATTCTATTTTCCTTTGAGAACGAGAGGTTTACTACACACCACTACGGGTTCATAGCGTACTACTGTGTTATTACGCTATTAAGTAACTTTTATTAGTCCTCAGCGTATTATATACTGAGATGAACCGACTGATTAATTTCACTGTACACTTAGATAGAAACATATAGGATGAAACATGCGTACTGAATTCCACTATTAGCCACGACCAGGTAAATTATAACAAAATATACTTCTATTAGCAATAAAATTTATAACAGGAAACTGGTGATCATTTGAAAATATGATGTTGTTTATATTACTCAATAACTAGTCAGGTGTTTATTCAGTCACTAAATTTCTAGAAACACTTGGAGTGCGTTATATGCATTTCGTAGCATTTATTCAGTGTGGTACTTGATAACATCTAATATGAAGTAGTGAATTCAGCTTGTCTGATGCAGTATAAACTTCATCTGTAAATTTCGGTCAGTATTGAACACTAAGCACATAACTACCAGAGAGAGAGACAGACAAATAAAATCAAAGCAGAATCTCGTACACAAGTGTATTTGCTCAAGTTACAAGACTTCACAGTAGTATACAAAGAATAGGTGGACATGAAAGACTGAGATAAAAGTAGCAATGGTTAAGTGGAAAGAGAGGGAATTAAAAAGTGAAGGTTAGTCCAAGAATTCAAGCTTCAGAAGATATCGTAGAGTGACGGGGGTTTAGATCACCATAAAAAGACTAGTTTCCTTGTAATTGTGAATGCACGTTGCTGAATGAGTGTCAACAAGAGCGAAGCGTAGATAGAACATTCTTTCCTACTGTCTGAATCTCACCATCTATATATCCACTTTTTGTCAGTCACATCAGTTATATTCCAAAGAAAAGTTGTAACTTTTCACTCAGACTAAACTAGATGAGATAGGAGTAGATTGCTGAGTTTGTAGTAAAAAGCAGAACACAAATTAAAACGCATAATATTGAACAGTCATCAAGATATCTTAGTTTTGGTTCCATTCTATGTTATAAATTCATCTAATAGGCGTATCAAAACACCAAAGGGAATCTCATTCTCTCTATCTCTGTCTTTCTCAGACTAAACTTATGATCATTTAATGTTGTTGCTTGTATTATCCCGTCGTTTCAAGTGATCGATCTCAAGTTCGAGTCCCAGTGGGAATAACATCGTTCACTGAGAGACAGGTACATCCAGCTGATGAGTCCCAAATAGGATGAAATGTGTATCCCGGATTCCACTACTAGCCATGAACCATCA